AAGCAGGTTAGTGTTGCACTTTCCACCACCGAAGCGGAATATGTCGCTGCGGGAAGTTGTTGTGCCCAAATTCTTTGGCTAAGACAGCAACTAGTGGATTTCGGCCTTATACTTGATCACATCCCTATTAGGTGTGACAATATGAGCGCTATTAGTCTAACGAAGAACCCCGTTCTTCACTCGAGGACTAAGCACATAGAAATTAGGCATCACTTCATACGAGATCACGTCCAAAAGGGAGATGTCACAATTGAGTTTGTTGAAACGAAACATCAATTGGCAGACATTTTCACGAAACCCCTTAGTAGGGAGAGTTTCTTCCACATTCGGAACGAACTTGGAATTTTGGATATCTCTATAAACTAATCCATTCTTTTTATTGACTATACTAATTTGAGCGTCGGAGGCACGATAAATTTTTTTTTGCAGGTATCTCTTCCCTTGGTATTCAACCGAATTGGACTTGATGATTTTTTTTTCTGTCAAACAAGTTTTAATCGATTACTCTTCGAAGAGAAATCGATTAGTCGCCTCTGTCCCTATTAATCAATTACTGGACTTTTGTTAATCGATTAAAATCCAAAAACTTCTTTAGCACTGATTCACTTTTAAATCGATTAATTTTGTTCAATTAATCAATTAGACTCATCTATCCATCTTAATCGATTAACCATCTTTGTTTAATCGATTAATAGCTTGAAACGCAAACGTTTGGTTCTGCTTCACTTCTAATCGATTAATAAGCTTATTTTAATCGATTAGCCTCGGCTGTGTTCTCTAATCGATTAAATACTTGTTTTTAATCAATTAATAGTCGATTTTTGCCCTTATATCCAGCCAGGCTTCGTCTTCTTCGCCATTCTCCTGTTACGAAATCCGAACAAATCCGAAACCCTAACACATTCCCTTCTCAAATTTTTCTCAAATTTCTTCCATTTTTCTCACCAAATTCCATCAATTTCAAAGAGGAAGGATGCCAAGGTGCAAGAATGCTTCATCGCGTCAAGAAACGGCGGCAGAGGAGAGTGAGAGGCCATAGCGTCGTGAAGGGAGCAAGTACATTCACATACAAACCGGACTCGCCTGCAACACTGGGGCTTCAGTCGAGAGGTTCCACAACATATACCTCACAAAAGAGATCGTCTCTCCTAAGATCGTGAACAAGGACCTCTTCAAATCGGCGACCTATGCCCCGAGTAAGTCTCTTCTCCTTCAGCAAGGTTTGCTTCATTTCATCCATTTGACGTATGAATTCTTTTGTCCAAATCTTATACGTCAATTTTATGCAAATCTTCGTACCACTAAGGGAGACTCGCCATCTCTCATTTCCTATGTTGACGGCAAAACCGTTTTCATTGACGGTGCCAGTTTGACTTCTTTGTTTGGCCTTCGTCGCGGTGAAATTACCGAAAACTTGGATGAAACATTCCAAGATGAGGCAATTTGGCGACAACTCGGGTTAGATCATCGTGACCTCAAGTTTAGAAATTCTAGCAACCCGAGTGTCATTAATTTCACTTTAATTCAATGCGTCCAACAATACATCTTCTCCTATGTTTTGTTGCCCCGTGATTCGAACCATGGCGTTGTCAACAAGGACGATATTCGTTTGTTTCACGTCCTGTTGAACGATGTCAAATTTGATTGGGTTCACTTCTTTATCGTTGTACTTAGCGATGGCACTCGTTTTTCCCATCTCCGTTTTGCCATCCCCATTATGCATATTCTTGCTCATTGCAAAATAGACTTTACTCGGGACACTCAGGTGCCGGTCAAGAAGACGTGTTTCATCACTGAAGCCAAGTTTTCCCGGATCGTGTATCGAGAGGAGGGCAATGCTGCACCAAATCTGGACCTGATAGTCGCAGAAGAAGAAGAAGAGAGCCAAAACGAGACTCAAGCAGAGTCATCTCGAGCCGGAGGAAGTCGAGCCATGGAGCGCGTCACTCGTCAACGGAGGACTCGTCCATGAGAAGAAGCACCGGAACCTTCTTGGGTGAAGAGGATCTTCGATACTCTCACGTGCATCCGAGATGACGTTCGCCAGCTCAACGAGAGGATGACTCGTCTTGAGCAATCTCGCTCCTACCGTGGCCCGCGTCACAGTTTTGGCTGAGGAGCTCGTCCGGCGAACTCTCTTTGATTATTATTTTCTTTCCATCTTGACTCACTATGATACATTGTTATTTGCTAATGTTATTATGACTCTTTTGGTGGATGATGATGTTCCTTTCAATGATGCTAGTTGATATTAATTTTGATTGTGTATTGATATCATTGTTGGTTTGGCAATATTGTTCTTAGTTAGAACATATTGTCCATTTGTGGTATTTTTACTAAGAGTTCTCTTTTAAAGAAAACTCTTGCCAATTTTTTTTCCTTCAATATCCCGGCATTGTTTAAGGGGGAAGGTTATCGGTTGATAATGCCAAAAGGGGGAAGGAAGGATAGTTGAGAAATTTTTTAAAAATCGTTTTTCCGCTTATTACTCCGATTATTTTTTCTACACTTCTCTAACCTTGCAGGGGAAATTATTCTGAAAAGGAAGTAATTTTTGAACTCTTACTTTGCTCCTTCTCAACTATGTTTGTCATTATCAAAAAGGGGGAAATTGTTGGACATGAGTTCAAACCCCTTTACTATTTCTTCTGGAATATTTTTTTGTTTTGATGAATGACAAACAGGATGATTAATTTCAAGCTGATCGAAAATTTATTTTTGTATCGAGAAAAGCAAAGAAGGGTATCGAGAAGTTTACGGCGATAAAAATCGACGATCACCCCTACGCAGATTTTTTTTTGAAGTGAAGTGAAGACTCCGAAGACTTTTTAATTTTTTATTAAGTCTAGGAATCTTTGTAAGGATGACAATATTTTCTGCACAAACGAATTAATTTCTGAGGGATAAAAATAATTATTTTTGAATCAGTTGAAAAATTACTTTTCCTCTGTCTAAAATATTTTAGTGAGTCAGTTTCAAAATAAGTGTGTCAAAATTTCTTTAAAACATTTTTTTTAAGATTACACAATTTTTTTTGGTAAGAAAAATATAATTTAAATATTTTTCGTGTACATCGTTTGACACACAAAATAATTTTTGAACTCTTTTTCTCTCCCATACTCAAATTCATTGAATAGGAGGAGCGTCCCTTGATATTCCCGTTGTCCCAAACAACGAGTTAGAAGCCAAAGACTTCCAATCGCACTTGGCTTGGGCCCTTCATGTTTGCGCATTATTTTTTCACTTTAATCGATTAATTTATCTAAAATAATTGATTAGATCCAATTTCTCAGCGCTGGATTTCTCAGTCAAACTATACGTAACGATATAGTTTTCATTATTTATTGACAAACTTTATAAATCACATATTTTTGGGTCTTTCTCAGTAATTAATTAATTATCAATTAATTGATTTTGATAGACCTATTTTCGGGGCATTACATGTCACCTGAATAAAGGCTAAGTTGGATACGCCATAAAATGAGAGTATAAAATGAGAAGATATATTAGGATGAATGAAAGAGTTGTGTGACATTATTTTGAATGTGTTATGTGACTTTATTTTGGTTGAGAATTTATAATACTTGTGGTTTATTAAGTTGTTTTAAAATAAGTTTGGTTGAAATTGTTGTTATTTATATGTTGGTGTTGAGCTTTATTATAATAATAATAATGTTTTAAAAATAATTTATTTTTATTTATTTTATTATTTTTAGAGTTTTTGGTCAATTTCATAAGTAATAATTAATGTTAGAACAATGTAAAGATTTTTAAAATAATTCAAATGTATATATAAATAATGGGTAATTTACTTAAATAATACTAAAACATAATGACTTTCTCAATATAAGATCATATGTTTTTATTTTCTAATGTAGGATCTTTGGTCATCATTATTAAGTCATATTTAGACAATAGAAAATTTAAGTCCTATATTAGAAATAATTTATGTGTTAGTCATATTTAGTACAAATTTCACATAAATACTCCGTAATTCATTGACTTTACGAAATCTATGGGTTCAATATAATCTATTAGAATCTTTAAAAATTTGGAATTTGGTTAAACTTTTTTCACTACTTTGACTAGTTTGACTACCGATTAGATTTTATAAGCGGTTGATATTCTAACTTTGAGTCGAGAAGAACAAGCCTCAAACCTTGAGCCAGTTTATTGTGGCATCTTCACGAGGGCGCAAAAGAAATTGCAGAAGAATCTGGAAAGAAAAAAAAAGAAAAAGAAAAACCCCTGAGGGGGTCCTACCTGACCGAAAACCGACCTTACCGCAGCTGCTTCTTCATTTCTTTGCATTCGCCTCACTTTTCTTCTGGTTAAGGAAGAAAAAAACTTTGCTGAAATGGCGACTGGCGAGTACGGCGACTCTGGCTATGTCTTGGAAGATGTGCCTCACTTGTCTGATTACATTCACGATCTCCCTGTATCTCTCTCTCTCTCTCTCTCTCTCTTCACTCTGATTTTTTTAGTTCTAGCTACAACAACAGGCCCAGTTAAATGTTAAATCCCATAAAAACTAGGTCTTTATCAGTTCCCCCCCTCTCGTGTGTTGATATTGTTCTAATTCTGGGGTATATATTTCTTGCATGGAAACTATGTGTTCTTGTACATTGCGTTGGATTTCTTGGATTGTACATTGAGTGTGGTTGTTCTTGGATTGTATTTAATTGCATTTTCTAACTTGTGGGTAGGATGTTAAATTGTTATGGTCATTCGTTGTATTGCTTATTTCATGGCTAGAAATGATGATTTATTCAGATGTGTGGGAGATGGACATTCCCCTTACCTATTTTTAATTGTGTTTTTTTATAGTTGATTATCTTACACCTTATATTCTTTGCAGACTTATCCCAACCCATTGCAGGACAACCCTTCCTATTCGGTTGTTAAGTAAGTAGGGCTATGCAACTATTACGTTTGTGCTTGTGCTTTGTTTAAGGTTTGTGTTCAGAGCTTTTCATTGACATGCTTTTCTGCTTGAACAGGCAATATTTTGTAAACGAGGATGATTCTGTTACCGAGAAGGTGACTGTTTTTTCTTAAACTTGATCCCTTTTCCATCCAATAAAAATATGTGGACACTTTGAAAGTTTTCTTCTCTGTGGATTTCTTGTGCTATATATGCACAGATTGAAGGTCTGTATGCATTGGTTCTTGCTCTGAGGTGAATATGAAAATAAAAAGACCTGTGTGACTGTGTCTTGCTTGCAGATTGTTGTCCACAAACATTCCCCTAGAGGAAATCATTTTCGACGTGCTGGTCCTCGACAAAAGGTTCAACTCTTGTTCTGATCTCTCCCTTTTAATTTTTACTGCTTTTGTGCTCCGTATTGAATGTCGAAGAAGGTTGACGGGTCTTCTTTTTATCAGGTGTACTTCAAATCTGATGAAGTGCTAGCATGCATAGTAACTTGTGGGGGTTTATGCCCTGGTTTAAATACAGTGATTAGGGAATTAGTGCGTGGTCTGCACAACATGTATGGTGTTAACAAAGTTCTTGGAATAGAGGTATGCCACTGTTACAATTTTGAGTGTTTGGTGAAGATGTGTTTATCCTCTGTTTGGAAGATATGAAGAGGCTAATTGTTTAAATTATGTTCTCTCAGCTTGGATTTAAAGGCTTCTACTCCAGAAATACTGTCACTTTGACCCCAAAAGATGTCAATGACATTCATAAACGTGGTGGTACCATTCTTGGGACATCAAGAGGGGGCTATGTGACATCAAAAATAGTTGACAGCATTCAGGATCGTGGCATTAATCAGGTTACCTACATTTCCTTGTTTATATTAGTACTGCTTTCTTTTATATAATTGTCATGGGATATTGATTTAATGGGATATAAGACTTAAAATATTAAGTGATGTAGGTTTACATAATTGGAGGAGATGGTACTCAGAAAGGGGCTTCTGTGATCTTTGAGGTAATATATTACTGACAAGTTACAAGACTCTTCGAGTTCAGCTGTTCAGTGTAAGGTTTGGCAGTAGCAATAATTTATTTACATTTAAACCCTTGGCTTATTGTGCATTCCATTACACAGGAAATTCGAAAGCGCGGTCTCAAAGTTTCAGTAGTTGGAATACCTAAGACCATTGATAATGATATACCGGTATTCAAATATATTTTCTGGAACAAGTTAATACTACGTTTCACGTTTGTAGCATCCAAGCAAGGTGGAACTATTTTCCATGTGGCAGACTAACTCCTGTGCGTGATCAGGTTATTGACAAATCCTTTGGTTTTGACACTGCTGTTGAGGAAGCTCAAAGAGCTATTGATGCTGCACATGTAGAGGCTGAAAGTGCAGAAAACGGGATTGGTGTTGTGAAATTGATGGGACGCTATAGTGGTATTATTAATTATAGTTCTGCAGTATATAGGGTATATTTGTATTTTTGTTTTTTGTTGTGAAAATTGTATTATTTGTATATTTATACAAGGTTTGGTTCTTGTTCAGGATTCATAGCAATGTATGCCACTCTTGCCAGCAGAGATGTTGACTGCTGCTTAATTCCTGAATCACCTTTTTATTTGGACGGTCCTAGTGGGCTCTTTAAATACATAAAACGAACATTGCAGGAAAATGGCCACATGGTCATTGTAATTGCTGAAGGTGCAGGACAGGAGTTGCTTTCTGATAGCATGCAAGATAAAAATCTCCAACAGGATCCTTCAGGGAACAAGTTGCTCCCAGATGTTGGCCATTGGTTATCACAGAAGATCAAGGTATTGATTTATTGATGCTAAATATTTTTTAGATGTAACCAAGGGTGGACAATGTATCTTTTTTGTTTACAAGGAGTTACTTGCCTATAATCCTATGGTTGATATCTCACTTTTTCTTCTATGTAGTCGATTGTGTGCGTTTATATTATTTCGGTACTATTGCAGGATCATTTTAAGGAGAAGGGAAAGCTGGATTTAAACCTTAAATATATAGGTTCGTATATATAAGCGTACCTTTCTACGATAAATGCACTTTTAGTCCCTACCGTTTGAAACAAGCACCACTTTCCTTATGTATATTTACTGGTGGGTGTATATAATAGCATTAAAGTCTGTATCGTGCTTACGCACTTTAAGTTTGGAAAAACTAGTCATGTTAACTTTTTCTTATTGGAAAAACTAATAAGCTATGGTTAACTATGAATATAACTGAAATACCATCCAAATTTTATTGAAGACGTGAAACCCTAAATACTTGACTTTTTATGTTCAATATTTTTACCAAAGTGCATTATTAGTAGCAATTTTATTAATTTCATAACATGATGCTTATTTACCAAAGTGCATTATTAGTAGCAATATTTTTTTTCCATCATCTCCGATGGAGTCAAAATTTCACCATTTTTGGCTTTGGGGTGTGATGGAATAAATCAAAATGGATCTCTAAACTATCTGCGCTTCTTTAATTAATGAAGTAGCAGTTAGTCAAACACTGCAACTTTCGATGTTGAGCCGGGGGTCTCTTTGGAAACAGCCTCTCTACTTTCGAGTAGGGGCAAGGTCTGCGTACACACACCCTCCCCAGACCCTACTCTTGTGGGATTTAACTGGGTTGTTGTTGTTGTTGATGCTTATTAATAAACGTTGGCAATCTTGTTTAATCTTTATGGAATACCTGACATTGTATAATTTAAAGTTAATGTTTTGTTTTTAGTTTATACATAAATATTACGTAAAGCTTATGAACCTCCATGATATTTTCAAAATATTCTAGAAGGGGAAATTTAAATTTATATAATTTTGATTGATTTCAGTGAAAATCAATTTTTTAATTTTTTTTAAAGAAATTCCCTTACAAAAAAATTAAATTAATGTTCTCTTAAAATTAGGCCATATGGAAAAGGTTTAATAAATGTAAATGTTTGTGATTAATTTTATTTATGATTTCCCTTGAGGATTAGTAGAGAATTTGTGGACATCAAAGTTTATGTGTAAAAATCCTGTTAAAAGGCTAACATCATTAGTTATTAGAGGTATTTACACATTGCAAATTTAAGAGCCTTATGAAAGCAATAGTAAGCACAAGGAATTGGCAAACCAAATGGTACAAATATCTAACTTTAGGAACTAAAGTTTTGTTCTTCTTATCTTCTTTTATCATAAAGCTAAAAGCCCCAAGTCATATGTCAGATCCAACATATATGGTCCGTGCAATTCCAAGCAATGCATCAGACAATGTCTACTGTACACTTCTTGCTCAGAGTGCCATTCATGGTGCAATGGCCGGTTACACTGGCTTCACAGTAGGCCCTGTCAATGGGAGACATGCTTACATACCATTCTTCGTAAGTCCGCTATAAACATTTAATACAGAGCACTTTATGTTTGTTAACTTTACCACATGTTAAATGGAAGACATGCTTCCATGCCATTCAATCCAAAATCTATTTTAGATCTCTTCACTTACTCCTAATTGATGTTCGAGTGGTAAAACATGCACTCTTCTCTCTGATAAAGAGATGTTCTTTCTAAACATGTACTGAATTTGTGAATTTTGATGCAGCGCTTCTATTTATTTTATCGAAATTCTTCTTGTAGAGTAAGTTTTATTGGTTCAATATTCATGTATGTTGGAGAAATTCTAGCATTTCTTGTTCAAACTTTTTGGCTTCCTTAATCATTACTATGACAAACATAACACCTTATGTTCTCTTACTGAAATGGAAAATGAGCTTCGTGAACTCTATTGCATTCATAAAGACATTGAAGGGCAGTGTTAGCACTTAGATTTCCTGACGATGGACTGTTTCTTTTTGTAGCGTATAACAGAAAAACAAAATAGGGTGGTGGTAACAGATAGGATGTGGGCCAGAGTCCTCTCCTCTACCAATCAACCGAGTTTCTTGGACTTGAATGATGCTATTAGTAATGAAGCCAATGAAGCAAAACCAGCACAAAAACAGTAATTAGATCGGGAAAATGGCAGGGAGACATTTTAAGATTCCAATTGCTTACATGGTATGAAGGGTTTGGTATCAGTTTGGAGACCTGATCTTGACTTTCTGTAATGTGATGTGGTGTAACTTGTTCTTGGAGGGCTTAAATGTATGCTGATATTCTTGTATTAGAACTGGAAAATGTCTTGTCTAATAGAAATGGCGACAAATATATTCATTGAGATATTACTCTTCCCCGGGAATGATCCTAGAGTTTCTGATTGTTCGATGTATCACATCATTGAATGCTCAGTTATACACACACACACACACACACACACACACACACACACACACACACACACACTAGCATTTATACGCGCGTTGCGCGAATTCAAGTGCCCGATCAAGATTTTATGCAAGTTTTTTTATGGTTTTTCTATATGATTCAATATGGTTGAATTGGTGCATATTGTTTTTGATTCAATGACCCATGGAAAAATGAAGTTGACAATAATGCCGAGAATGACGGTGAAAACATTAAGCTACCAAAGATTATATAAGAATGAGCTTGATAATATTGGATGCTATATGTTTGAGATTAGTATATATTTGCATTTCATAGAAAATATCTACAATAACATTGCAAGTGGACAACATACAAAGGGATATGTCAGCGAATATCTCACTGGTTGGGTTGATCCCAGTGGGTATGTTTCCAGATGACTTTATGACAACCAGGATGTGTCTCCTAATCTTGATTATTTAATATTGTGATAAATATATGAAAAAGGGAGATCCCTCATAGCAGTTCAGAATGAATTGAAATGTTACGTTGATTTTATCAAGCAGTTCATAGCCTATTATTTATGGCAAGCACTAATCTGTGATGATCATGTTCATTTTTTCCATGCAAAAATGGCAAGAGAGATTTAATATTTCTGATCATGAAAATGGAGTACAAAAGTGATTCCATTTAATGTAGGGGCCGGGACGTTTGGGGTGCGCTTTGGATAATCAACCAAGCCCAAATACTCCGATGGCCTCAAATTGTTCTCTGTTATTGTCACTGAAAGAAAAAATGAGAATGTTAGTTTGAACATATTCATTCTTAAAAATAACATGTATAAGGTAGAAAACTAACAATATACAGGACCCTATAAATCAGTGTATTGCAGAGGAAGCGTGGAAGAACTCACAACATCATTAATCGACTAAGTGGGGGAAAAAATCTTGGTAGCTAGGAATGCCGCAAATTGAAGGGATGAGGCAGGGCTAAGAAATGAACTGCCCTGTACAATGGAAACTAAAACACCTATCAGCTATCATATATGAACAACCAATTGTAACTGAATCACAGATGAGCAAATCCAAGCGAAAGTGAGACAGCATAGCATAAATTTAATAGGCACACAAGATTAATTGTCACCTCACCACTGGTAAGATGTCAAAGACATTTATCTTCAAATTATGGACAAAAATCATGAGCTAAAGCTCATGTAACTTTAGTACCTTTAGATATCGTGAAGCCTATGAGAGAAGATATACAAACAAAATCCTTCTTTTATAATTGAACTACAGAGTTTTCATGGAAGGATGGAGAAGAAGTCGATAAATCGGGTATGGTATTGTGACATCAAGTAGTGATGATCTAAAATTTGCGAGTATATTGATAGCTCAAGCATAATACTGAAATAGATAAGTACACAGTAGATGAGTGTTGAAACACTTCTCTAGTTTTGTTCTCCAAAAGTTTGTTTAATAACCACCATACAATTCCCACCCTTTGATTCCAAGAAGTTATTGTTCTAAGTCCATTACCTTTTTCCCTTGAGGCCCCGTTTGGTACACGGAATTCAAACTATGGAATTGGAATTGAGGGCTTCAATTCCAATTCTCGTGTTTGGTAGCACAAAAATTATGTGGATTTGGAATTGATAGTGCAAAAAATGAATTGGAATTGGCAGAATTCAATTCTATGGAATTGAATCCCATGGAATTTCAATTTCAATTCAATTCTAATTCCATCAATTCCGTATACCAAACGGACCCTGAATAATTAGATTGAAGCTTGATTCTTAAAAGCAGGCGTGGTGGAAAACATTGAGAAGTATATTTATAAATATGTTCTTTTCTCTAAATTTAGGTTCAGAAAAGAAAAGAGAGAGCATGTACACCATATTTATAAATATGTTCTTTTCTCTAAATACAGTGACATGATTAGATTAAACCGGAATTGAAGTAGCAAACCTATCATATATGAACCAAAATTAGTAACTAAAAAAGAATCTAGAAAAATATTGAACCTGATTTATAGAACCTAAATATACTGAACCTGAATAGAATATAAGGTTCAAATAGGTACAATATTTGAGCTTCACTATTAGATCAAAATACTGAACCTAAACAAAATATTAGGTTCAAGCAGAATGTGAATACGCTTATTTTGATACTCCCCCTGTTCGGATTTATTCTTCTCGTTTCTCATTTTTCCCATCCGGATTTAATCTTCCCATTTCAATTTTTAACATACAAACTACCCTAAGTATACCGTAAGTACCCCTCACCCATTTACCCTTCTTTTTTCCTTCCCCTTCCCCAGGTCTATCTTTTTTTCTTCTTCTCTTTCTCCTCCATTTTCTTTCTCCTAGATCAACATCTCCTCCTCCTCCCCCTCCTCTTTCGTCTTCTCCCTTCCCCCTCCCCCTTTCTTCTTTCTCCTCTCTCCGACATCTGCATGGGGCTGGTGGAGTGCAGACTGCGAATAATGGCTTGGTTGTTTCTTCTTCCTATTTGTCACATTTACTACTCGCCAAACTCACATTGTCAGATTGGCCTAAACATAACTCACGAGATCTTTCATTAACATGGTAACATAACATATCAAGCACTAAATCCAAATTGCATAGTATACGTAAATGAAAAAAACTTATGATTGTTTCTGGGTATATGAGATTTATTAATGATATTCACGCTGTTGTTTAGTAGTAACCAATTAATTACACCTTTGAAGTTTCCAGTATGCAATTACTGCTTGTTGTACCAATTAATTAGGCTTTCTACGATTGTAGTTTGGATTCATAATTATTTTCCTGTGACATTCACAAAATGCAGAGGTTGACAAACTTTTAGAGCATAATAATTCTGGACATGTGTCATGGTATTGAACATTGTAGGAAGAGATTACGATGTACTTCCAAGGGCCCTTATATTCAGGATTTGGCAGTGGTCTCCATGTTCCATCCTCTTCATCACCTAATTCAACATGCTATTAGAGAAAAGAAAATGACTTCTCAGAGTTTAGGACACTTCTTCAAATCTTGTCAAGTTCTAGCAAGCCATCTAATTTATATGAAGTACTAAGAAAAAAAATATAAAAAGTTCATCATTTTAGTAGTAATTAATGTTATCATATGCATCCATGTTACTATTGCTTCCAACACTTAATTGTAAAAGGCATAGCAAATATTTAAGAAAATACAAGAAATTTTTTGAATGCCCATTAATTCTAAGGATTCAAATTGTAAAATATTTGTTAGGCAAAAAATAGCCAAAAGAAAATCTTATAATGATCCTTTAGAACAATATAAATGGAAAGGATAAGAAGAATGAAACCGACCTATTACAAGGAAAAAAACATAATGTACCTAGATTTAGAAAACTCACATATAGGCTTGTAATTGTAGGAGGTGTAGCAATTAATTTGTAACCAAATGTATTTAAAAATTAAAACACATCAAGAAATTAACCAACCCCACGTGCTCATATAAACACATACACACACATACATGCTCATACACACATGTATCAAGGTATTAGCAAGGCTCTCCTTGAGCATCCACTTATGGAGAATGTATCTGAAGAGTGCATCCTCCCTCAACAACAAGGCCTTTGTCAATAACAGCCTAAAAGCATAGTGATATGAATTTCTAATAATTCAAACCTTGTAGTTGTTCCTAGCACTCACCGCATCCACATCAGCTAATTCACTGGATCCACACTTACTAATCTCAACCCCATAAGCTAAAAGGTTTGAGAAAATTCGAAGGAAAGTAAATAAGTAATGCACACTGAGAACTTTACAAATTTATATCTAGATATCTTTAATCATTTGTACTTTGATTGAGAGGCAATAGTATTAAAGGAAAGATCAAAATGTCAATGAGAAAATTGGGGAGAAATGCAAAATTTTGTGTTTGGTGATGAGAAACTTTTCAACCAATAAATGTTAATTTTCACGACGTGGTACAAAAATCGCAAAAAAACAGTTAAATAAAAAACCCGAAAAATAAAATACTATGCTAATAAAAATGTGTTAAATTTGATGGCATTCAATACAAACCACAAATACGTACGGTTAAATAATAAACCTGAAATAGAGAAAATAATCTAAAAAAAACCTACCTATGATGTAAAATTTCCAAATATGAGCATCAACTCTTCGACAACACCCCTCGACTGGTCCCAGTCCTGGAATAAATAAAATCTTTTATAAGAACTGACATATAATGTGAAAATCCCAAATCTCAACTGAAACCTTGAACAACAGTTTGATACTGTGTTTAATTTTCCTCTTAATTAAAAAATGTGTTAACTTTCATGACATACACCACAATCCCCTAATAACATTTAAAGAACAAGCCTAAAGAAGAGAAAATGCCTTTTAAAATCGAAGAAAGAGATTTTAGTGCTATGGTTCTATTTGGGGTTAAAACGCTATTTGTGAGTACAGATTTAGGTTTAAGCACCAATAGATATTTTTTTTAAACCAGTATGAAGACTTAACACTTACACTGATTAGTTATTACTTAGGGCTTCTCAAATCAATTAGTATGCTATTTGTTTAAACCCTTGGGTAACACTATATTTGGTTCAAAACACATCTTCAGAAGGGATAGAGTTTTTAGTTTCTTTAAATGTAGGATTAACACTATGTTTGGTTCAAGGAATTTGAGAAGAAAAGGAAAAGAAAATGAGAAGGAAAACATTTTTTTGTTTGGTTTGAGAGGAAAAAAAAGAAAAGTGGAAGAAAGGAAAATAAGAAGGTAAAATGTACAAAGAGGTGAGAAAACCAAATTACTTCCATTTAGTGAGAAAAATGAGGAAAAATCATTTACTTTTCTTTTCCTTCCAAATGCTTTGAACCAAACATAGTGTAAAAGTTAATCACTACTACACTTTTTAGATTTGCAGAGTATTGACCATCTAGACAAATGAAAAAAATTATTATAATCAATAACATTTAAATCAAATTCAGATTACAAGGAACAAAGTATGCCGGCTTGTGTACCATATCTCTAATCAATGTGGACTTTGCAGTTGGCCTCCCTTCAAAATAAAATAGACTATCATATTGGTGAACAACAAGAAAACATTATATTACAAAAAAAAAGAGCAAAAGGTTGTAGTTGCCTGACCTTTTGCACAAAAAACAGAAGATCCATTTTGTATTCAATGCCAACAACATTCTCTATATGCTGCTCGAAAACATGCACATTACAAGAACAAACTTATTTTTATTAGTAACTTGAAAGGAAATTAGTATTAAAATTAAGATAAGAGGAAATTTAAAAAAATAATACATCATGAGTGAGATTTTAATATTGGAACAAGATTAGTTTTTTAATGGAAAATCAATCACCAATCAGTGGTAGCCAGTACCTTATTTGGCTGGATTAAAATATAGTTGCTCACCTTTGACAACCTTTATATTGTAAATTATTCTAAGAAAAAATTTATCCAACTTACACTTTTCAAACCTAAATGTTACTTTCTTTGGCCACCAGAGAAATAAAAGGATTAAATTGCATAATAAATCATCAATTTAGACGGAGGGTTTCACTTCTTGAACAAACTCAATTGAATTTTAAATGCTTTCATATGAACCATTAGACAAAAGCGAACTGCTTTTGGTGCAAAAATAGATGAAAAACAAAAACAAACATGAGGTGAAAACAATTCCTTTTTTTATTTGCATAATGGATTAGTATTTACTTCAAAAGTATACAAAATGTGTATGAAAGAAAAAAAGACCAAAACCTTTTTAGGAAAACACGTAAATCATCCATAGAACAAAAATAGTTATAGAAGCGAGTATACTAAAAGTTTATATCAAACAACTCTAATCTTGCAAACATCTAGGACACTAACCCACAAAACCTAAGAACAAAAAATAGAAGAACGAAATCATTAATAACTCATATGAATAAGCACTGATATTATTTTTATTGAGAAAATTAAATTTGAAAATTCCAAAAGCTGTCATACCTAGAAAAAATTGCAAGAGGGGACGATGAATTATCCGTCTGCTGTGGATAGATTATATGGAAAAACAAAATTCCCCTCGACCATTACCCCATAACGAATCAAATTCTGAAAATTATTTGAAAAATCCAAAATACACAAGAGTAGCTGGTTGAAATCGTACGGTAGAAGCACCTGGAACATGGTAAGAAACGGCGTGGAGTTTTTGTCGGTCACGGCTTGAATCTACGCTAGCAGAGCAGGAGAGTATGAAAAGTCAAGCGGCTGGTTGCTTCTCTAGAACACCAATGCGTACCTTCGCTTCTAAATTGACAGAAGTTAAATCATAGAGGATATTTTTGGGAGAAAAAGTAAAGGTACTACTTTATAAGCACGGTGTACAAAAGAAATGGATGGAAAAATGCATCTTTTTAAAGGGTACCTAACCTTCCTTCCCATTTATAATATATATATATATATATATATATATATATATATATATATATTGCAAAGAAATCAGGTTTTATTAATGAAAATGGAACGTGGGGATACAATCCTGGTACAAAATATTTTTAACAACATCAGGACAAAGGTTGATATGCCAGTATTCCTTGAGAGGGGAGTCTAATGTCCTGTCCACCTTTGCGAGACCATCTGCAGCAGTTCCCTTCCCGTAAAATGTGAGAAACTTGAATCCCATTTTGAAGAATGAGTTGACCCAAAACGTCAATTGGGAAAGAGGAGACTGAATTTTTACTGAACAATGGAATCCTGGAAATAATGGACTTAGCATCAGTCTCATAAATCAGAGAATTGGAAATTAAAAGGGCCCATCTGATTGCTTTAATAGCGGCATCCACTTCAGCTTGGTAGGCACTCCTAGAGTGTAGTTTGAAGGAAGCCCCACGGACCAGTCTTCCTTCTGCATCTCTTAAAATAGCTGCACCTCTTTGATGTGTTGTGGTATAGGAGGCATCAACATTGAGTTTAAGCCTACCCGTAGGAGGTGCCTTCCATTTAACCATGCGAACGAAGTTGTGAGATGTGAACCTGGGTATAAGATTATGTGAGAATAACCAGGAGTCAAAATGTTGAAGTTTGCGGGGAGTCGTGATGGACAACCATTGTTTGGTATACGAATCAATCTGATGAATAAGACTTAGAGTGCTAAAATTGGAACATTTCCCATAAATGATCTCATTCATCTTTTTCCAGATGTGCCACGTGATTATCCCTGGCAGATGTTTAAGCAGTAGCCCGTAAAGGTTAGGTGTGTCCCTCAACCACCAGTTCATGAAGTGTTGGTTGATAGTAGAAGATTCTGTGTGGAGGAAGTTTAGACATCTAGCATAATGTCTCCAAATATCCACGATCTTAGCACAATCAATCAGGGAATGTTTTGCTGTGAGGCTTGAATTCATGCAGAAAGGACAAACAGAAGGGAAAGCAAAACCAAGCCTTCGAAGGTTTTCAGTGATTGGCAGGCACTTGCGTAAAAGTTTCCACATAAAGATGCTGATCTTGGACTTCTGTGGGGATTCCCAAATATTATGAAACGCAAGAGAAGGGCTAGAATTAGTCCTGGAAACCTCATAAGCACTCTTAAGGGTGAACTGCCCAGATGGGTCCTCATTCCAAATAAATGCTTCCTCCTCGGTAGTATGGCAGTGATTGAGAGCTTTGACATTAGTCCTTGTGATCCTTGTCCAGGTAGGGGAGTCCACCAAGTGACATTCCATCTCTCCCCGCCTATGATATTTGGCCCTCATGAATCTCCCCCAGAGGCTGTTATTATGTTGATATTTCCACCATAATTTGAGACTAAAGGCCTCCTCCAAGGATTGGAAGTTTCTAGTGCCAATACCACCTTCCTCTTTTGGTAAAGAAAGAGATTCCCACTTCAGCCAATGATGCTTCTTCTGGCCACAACCCCGCCAGAACCCTACCATCTTTTGATGAAGAAGGTTGATGATGGATCTAGGAACAGTGTTTGCAGCCAAAAAGTAGTTAAGAATGGTATTGAGCACATGATTAATAAGGATTAATCTTCCTGCCTGATCCAAGTTTTTTTGATACCATCCATTGAGTTTCTTGTCAAAGGAAGAAATGAGAGGTGTACAATGGTGTTTCCTTGTGATGCCAGAGTGGATAGGGCTACCCAGGTAGGTAAAAGGGAGCTTTCTGTGTGGCATGGTCAGGAGTTGTTCCAGCTTCCTAATTCTCATAGTATTAAACTTCTTCCCAACCATGAAGCTGCTCTTAGAGGAGTTAATAGTCTGACCAGAGACCTGTTGATATTTAGCCAAGAATGTCTTCAAATTGGAAATAGATCTGAGATGAGCATTGGTGAAGATAATGAGGTCATCGGCATAAGCCAAGTGGGTGACAAGAATGCTGTTTCTGCCACAGTTTAATCTACCCAAAGAACCAGTGTGGAACAGTTTATTAATGTTCCTAGAGAAACCTTCATTAGCAATAATGAAGAGGAGGGGGGATAAAGGGTCACCTTGTTTGATTCCTCTCGATTGGCCAAAGAAACCACAAGGTTTCCCATTGAAAAGAATGGAGTATTTAGAGGAATGAAGAAGGTTTTTGATCATAATTAAGAACTGGTGATAGAAGCCAAACCTATGGAGTATATCCAAGAGATAGGACCACTTTAACTTATCGAAGGCTTTGGCCATGTCAAGCTTGAGGATAATGTTGCCACCCCCAGCTTTTCTATCAATGTTATGGGCCATTTCTTTTGTAAGAAGAATCTGCTCCATGATATCCCTACCAGCCACAAATGCCCCTTGTTCTTCAGAGATGATCAAAGGATGCACCTTGCTAAGTCTCTTGGCAATGCATTTTGTTGCAATTTTAGAGGCAACAGTTGATAAACATACAGGCCTAAAATCATTCAGTCTAGATGCATTATCACATTTGGGAATAAGGCAGATATTGGTGCTTGCAGCAGCCACGGGGAGTGGAATGCCCAAGAAGACTTCTTGACAGGCAGAAATTACCTCTCTCTTAACTATATCCCAGCATTCCTTAAAGAAATTGACATTAAAACCATCTGGACCAGCACAAGAGTTAGACTCCATGTAAAAAAAGATGGCTTTGATCTCATCTTCAGATGGTAAATGCATCAGATCTTGATTATGATGATGATCTAAAATTTTAGGGATGTTTGCCAGGAAGCCATCATAATCTACTGTAGAGGGATCCGGTTCAGCAGAATTGAACATGTTATGGTAGTAGGAACTAACCATATCTTCTAAAATTGTTGGATCTTCTTGAAACTTCCCTTGCTCATCCTTTAAGGAGTTGATTTTTTGCTGCCTTCTTCTTTCCTTGGCCAAATTATGAAAAAATCTGGTATTGGCATCACCTTCCCTAAGCCATTTGAGATTACATTTCTGTTTCCAGTAGCTATGTTCCAAGTTCCCCACCTGCAAAAGCTGAGCTTTTTTAAGATTAAATATCTCTTGATTGGTATCTGAAGGATCTTTCTCAAAGTTAATCTCAGCTATAGAGGCCTCATCTTCAGCTTCTTTCACCAGGTCAAAAATGTTACCAAAGTGTTCCTTATTCCAGGAGACTATTTTGGATTTGAGGTGATTGAGTTTATGAAAAAGGCATCTCATTCCTCCATAGTATGGGATTTCTGCCCACCAATCTTTACAGAGATTTTTGAAGTCTTTATTAAGGAGCCACATGTTTTGGAACCTGAAGGATTTCGGGGTTGTAATTGTGGACGATTTGGAGGAGATTATGAGAGGAGAATGATCACTGCCTTGTTTTGAAAGGTGTTTCATTGAGATGTCTGACCAATGATTGCTCCATCTTTCATTGAAAAAAACCCGGTCCAATCTCCTCCACACTTTGCCATTACTTCTAGTACCATGCCAGGTAAAAATTGGTCCAGTGAATTTGCTTTCCAGCAGATTACAATCTTTAATGCATGAGTTAAAATCTTCCACCCCTTCCAACGCAGGCAGCCTTTTCCCTTGGTGATGAAGGATATCTGAAATGGCATTGAAGTCTCCCCCCAATAACCAAGGGAGAGCAATGGAGTTATTAAAGGATCTGATATCTTCCCAAAGGTTTTTCCTACTTAGCACAGAGTGTCCCCCATACACTCCACTAACAACAAAGGTAGAATCATCTTGAATACCCTTCATGGTGAAATGAGAGATCTGATTTCCCTCTAGCAGATTCAAGAGAGAATAATCTTCTTTGTTCCAAAAAAACCAGATTTTGTTATTGCAAGTACTAAGAAAGCCAGTAAGACCCAAGGAGAAACCAATGTCTGGTCCTTTAGAAGAAACCAGCATGGGTTGTTCTTGTTTTTATTTCAGGTCTCTCACCACGAATAAGTTTTCCCTATCAGAGAACGTGGCAACTCTGTGTGGGGAATGTAAGGTTTTTTCCCTTAATTAGTAACTTCCCAATCCTTTTGGGGTAATGGTCTAAAGAACTTTAGACTGGAACATGCTTAGGAACTTTTTAATTTTACCCATGGTCTACCTCAAGAAGGAACTGAGGAGGAGATTGTCTTGAGGGGGATGTCTTCTACTTCCTCTTGGCTGTCAACCCGAATAGGTCCTGGAGTAGGCAATTCTGACATTGGGCTCCCTTCTGCAAGAGGAGGTTCTGACCCTGGGGTCCCTTCTGCATGAGGAGGTAAATCTGAATGAGCCAACCCAGAAGGGTCCAAGAAAAAAACATTAGTGGAAGGTAAAAACACTGGAGCCCTCCTTCTTGCACCTGTCTTGGAAGTTTCTACATGTTCTTCTCTTATAGTGGGTTTTGGGGCCCAAACATGAGGGACAGGTTTGGAAATATCCCCCTGTTTAGGAATAGCTGGAGCCTTGCCCTTCCGAGTGACTTTGGTCCATCCCTGCTGGACTTTGTCGTCGTTATTGTCCTGGACTTTATGGGCTGGAATATCCCTTTTCGCCGGTTGTGTGACCGGCTTACAGGTCAGTTGGTTGTGACCCAGTTTCCGGCAAGAATTACAGAAAAGAGGGGGATCTTCATAGACAACCTGGAAGAAGAGATCAGCATCAGCATGTTTGACATGAATGCGTTGGTGGAGGTTCCTGGAAACGTCAAGTTCCACACAAACCCTAGCAAACTTGGGTCTGGCGAAGTTGAGGGTAGCATTGTCAACCTTTAAAGGGGTCCCCAACATGGAGGCAATACTGAAAAGAGCAGCTTGTTCATGAAGATGAATTGGAAGGTGAGGAATGGAAATCCAGACTGGAACAATGGGGGAGTCTTCTTCTTGTGTTAAGGTTGGAGACCATTTGGTTACAGACATGGTATCCTTACCAATGGTCCAAACCTTACGATAAAAGAATCTCTGGTAGTCTTCATCTTGCTCGAAATTGATGAGGAAGCTGTTGGAAAAGAGTTCGCCCACTGTGAACCCCCCGGAAAAACCCAAACGAGTCAAGAAGTTCTTAACAACCAAAAGAGGGGGTCTTCTCCTGAACTTCCCGATCAAAGCATATCTGAAGCGAGTTGTTAGTCCGTCGACATCTGCTTGAGAGAAGGATATGGACGGGCAGCCCTTGAACATACTCTTATTAGCCTGAGAGCTGGTTTTAGGTGATTGTTTGAAAAGATCAGAGAAGAGCTTGGACCTCACCTGTTATTCGCCGGAAACCGGCGGGTTATCGCCGTTTCTAGAGAGAGAGCATTTTTTCATATATATATATATATATATATATATATATATATATATATATATATATATGGCCGTTTCTCTCTCTTCCTTTCCGGTCACCGGAAAAGGGAAATCGCCAGGGAAGATACAGAGCCGTACACACCCCCTCCGGCCTACCCTGTTCGCCGACCTCCTCAAAATTGGCCACGACAATCTTCCAGGCAATTTACACGGGATCTATAATGGGGTTCCCTCTATATCTTTCTCTCACGATGAGGAACAGGTGCTGTCTAAACCCCTTTCTTTCAGCCTTGTGGGTCGTTGCAGCTCCAGAGCTTACATCCAAGAATTGGAAGACTTCCTCGACAAGGGGGGTTATAGCGAGTTCAAATTGCGCAGAATCAGCAACCGTGATATACTCTTCATTTTCAAACGGGAGGGAGACTATCTCCGATGGTTCTCTCGCAGGCGTTGGTCCATTAAAGGGCTCATCATCTCCATCTCCAAATGGACACCATCCTACTCGCCGGCCAAGGAATCTCCAATCTTTCCGGTCTGGGTTCAACTTAACCACTTCCCTGCTCACCTAAACGACCACGCAGCATTATACCAGGTTGCTTCACTTCTTGGTAAGCCTATTAATGTGGATTCCAACACTTCCATTGGAGTCTATCCGTCTAAGCCTAGATTTTGTGTTGAAAGAGATCTTTCTCTACCATTTCCTGACCGAATTCACATCCGTCTTGGGAGCAAGGACATTTGGATTCCTTGTGGGTTTGAAAACCCCCCAACTTACTGCTCTTGTTGCGCTATATTTGGTCACACCACTTCAGCTTGCCGGAAAAGAAGTGGTCTGAACCTCACCGGAGTTGCTCCATTCAGTGTGGTGGGGCACTTTGGAGCGGGGAAATCCAGGGATCTTTCAGTTTGGAAAGAGGTGAGAGGAACACGA